TATAAGTGACTGTTATACTGATATTAATCACCAATTGCTCTAGAATGCTTTCTAGTTGAAAGGGATCACGGAGGTATTAAGCCATTGTATTGATACCAGAACTGATCTGATTATCATGTGCTTGCATTTTCTTGACTGTTAAAGAAAAATTTGTGTCTGTGCATATTTAAGAATCATTACATTCCAATTTTAGAAAAGCAAGTTATGAATGCATATTTCTGTTTTTCAACAAAGACCTCCTTTCAGATGTCCTGATTTGTCTCAGTGCTAACAGAATCATCTAAACACATTTTTCCTCTCATGACAATACTCCATGCTGAATCACATAATCTTATCTATTCTTCCTTAATGATACATTTCAAAATATTCATTTTGGGCAGTAACTATGTGAAAAGATGGATAACATTTTAAACTTGTTAGCGCTTAATTTCTATTAATATTACAAAAGAGGAATTGGAGGCCAGCCTGGTAACCATGATGATCCCTTCCAATTCTAAAATTCTGTCATTTTGTGCATGTATGCTTCGATCCCCAATGCCACTTCACATTGTCCTCATTTCACGTCTGGACTATGATACAATTACATCTGAACTATTTTGTGCTCAACTAGACTGGCTACTTTTCATTACCTTCTGTACCTTCACCAGAGTCATTTTACAAAAAGGTCACCTTCATTATACCACACTGATGCTTGCATTCATTCATGGCTGCCCACTGCTGACATGATGATGTCCAAACTTATCATGAGTGCTGTATTTAGAGACTCTGCATTTTACTATGATCAGTCTTTTCACCTTTATCACCTACCACTCTGCCACATGAAATCTCAAATCCCAGTCTGACTGAGCTACTAAAACTCCCCTATGGGAGACATTCTTGTCTCCATGTCTGGCTCATTTAGAATGCCTTCCTGTGCTTCTGCCCCAGCCATTTGCAATCCATCTGTCCTCCATGACCCAACTCAAACTGTACCTCCTTCAGAGCATTCTCCATTAAACCATCTGCAGCACATCCTCCTTCTCCGACCCTGCTATCCTTTCCATGACTGGGTCTCCCTAACACTTCATATTGATACCACTCCCTATTTAAAAATCTTTTGGTTATGCAATATTCAACACTGCTGTATTTACTTTTGATTTCTTATCATATGTATTATATTTGGTCTATTTCCAAAATGATGAGAAGGCTTACAGTAGGGACCACATAAGACTGTATGCCAGTTAAAAGGAAAAGTGAAAATACAAAACCATATGTGGGAGAGAATAAGGAACATGAATTAATGAAACTTAAAATCCAGCTATAGATTTGAATCTGCTTCCTGGCAGTCAAGGCAAAAAAAAAAAAAAAAAAAAAAAAAAGGGAAAAAGGACCAATCAGTTTCCATGTAGCAGTGACTTACTACATTTTGGCTGTATGTGTGTATTTTTTTTATAAAAACTTTTTACCTGTATGCATGTTGTCTCACTAACTATAATCGTCTTTGTGATTGCTAGGATTTATTGTAGGAATTACATAGCAAACCATCTAAACTAGCATATTGCATGGGTTTAATAAATAAATTAATTGATGGCTAATTTTATCAGAATTATAGATTTGAAGCTATTTTATTTATGTAGAAAATCAAAATAAGTACATAATAAACATGTGAATAACAATGCGAACAAAAGAAGGAGACACAGAAATCTCAGAGGGAGAATGAAAGGTTTGAGTTTGTGACCACTTTAATTAAAGGAAATTTTAAAAAGTATTCACAAGCTACTTAATATTTTTGGGTAAATGTCTATATTTGGGTAAATTGTCTCATAACGTACAGCAGCGAGCTTTTAGTAAGATGAGAAATGAATTTTATTGGAACTGCGTTGTATACTATAATATATGTCATTATTACTAGTAAATTAGGTGATAATGCTGCACCTTCTTGAAATATAAATTCATGCCACACATGAGTTTTCTTTCCTCTCCCTAAATAGCTGTTTCCTGGGAGGAAAAAATGCAAATTCAGCTGTTTTCTGGGACTACTGAAAGTTACTATGCAGATATACTATCCTGTTCTTCATACTTTACACTAGGGTTTCATTTCTTCTCTAGAGTTTTGTTATTGTTTTCTTTAACGTGGCAATGGGATGCTTTTACAATGTAGAGAACACCCTAATCTGGCACTGTCCAATAGAGATTTCTGTGCTGATGGAAATGTTCTATGTCTGTGCCACTAGCTTTACCTGTTGCATACTCACAGTGTGACTAGTGTGACTAAGGAACTGAATTTTAAATTGTATGTGATATTAATTACTTGAAATTTAAATGGAAACACAAATGGCTAGTGATTACCATATTGGACAGAGCAGCTTTCACAGGGCTCCTTGCTTTCGGGACTAACTTTTCCTTACTTCATTGGGTAACTTTAACAGTAGATTCCATTGGCCACTGTTTCTTTCTCATTATGTGAAGTTTTAAGCTACCATGCATTAGCAGTAAAGCTTTGGGTGCTTTTAAGAAGCACCCAAAATTATTGTCATGATTTTTTTAAGAAGTCTATGTTGTTGGCCAGGCGCAGTGGTTCACGCCTGTAATCCCAGCACTTTGGGAGGCTGAGACCAGTGGATCACTTGAGGTAAAGAGTTCAAGATCAGCCTGGCCAACATGGTGAAACCCAGTCTCCGCTAAAAATACAAATACTAACCCGGCATGGTGGTGTGCATTTATAGTCCCAGCTACTCAGGAGGCTGAGACAGAATAACCTGGGAGGTAGAGGTTGCAGTGTTACAAGATCATGCCACTGCACTCCAGCCTGGGTGACAGAGTAAGACTCCATCTCAAAAAAATAAAAAAGAGAAAAAGAAAAAGAAAAAAATTAAAAAAGTCTATGTTGTCAAAAGTAAAATTTAGGGAAATTTATTATTTACTGTCATGGAAACTGGGAATCATCCCTGTTTCTGTCATTTTGTTTGTGCTTGGACTTGAGGACACATATTCATAAAATAGGAGTTCCGTAAGATGTAGATAGGCTCCTGTTCATCGGCCAGGCACTCTCTGGGCAGAATTTGCATTTGTAGTTTTGGTGTCTCTCTGTAGGGCATTCTCTGAAGTCCCCTCTAGGCCAGGCATCTGAGTGAGACAGCCAAATTCTTTTCTAGGTGGATTTTTTGGTTTGACTGTCTTGTTTTGCTCACAGTTCTATGAGCAAGTAGTCAGGATTTGGTTTCTTTAGGCTAGCAGGAACTCGCTCTAGCTTTTTCTTTTAATTTCTTTAATTTGAGGATCCCCACACTTGCTCTTTGAAATGCTGTTTTGTAAACTGCTATTTCCTCCAAGCCTGTTATGTTTTTTTTCCATCTGTGTTGAAGTCTCTTTTCCCAGTGGGGCCTTTCTTTCTCAACTTAGTCATGCTATGTGTGGAGACCCACATCCACTCTGTTGGCCTCTCTGACTCATCCCGGGAGGTTCGCTTGCTCCAGGGAATCTCACTCACGGTGCAGTGGAACAACAGGGAGGATCCAGAGAAGCCAGCCCTCTCTGAAATCTGCCTCTTTTCCTGGCAACTCTCCTTCTTGTTCAAAGCTACATGAGAAGGGTGGGGGTGGGGGAAAGCACAAATATCCTCTCCCTTTAAGGTAATGTTTTTAGTAAATAGTTTTTTAGCAATTCTATTTTCTAGTTTGTAAGGTACTTTTGTTGCTGTTGCTTTTAAATATTCCATAATCCAGCTAGTCAAAAGAAGCTGCAAATGCTCCAATTTTCCTTTTTCCTACTCCAGGAAGCCAAGAGAGTCAATTCTGACAGTTTTTTTTTCCCTTCCAGTTACAGATTAAACTGTTTCCCCTTTTGAAATATATTATTCATGAATGTAAACAGTTTGCGAACTATAGGTCTTCCCATCCGCAGACAGCAGGCGTGGTGGGTGGAAATTGCTCATCTACCTCATTGATTGCTGGGGGCTATGTAGGACTAGATCTTCACACTCCAATCTCTGAGCCAGGATTTTTCCTTAGCCCTCCACTTCTCAGAGAAAACCCTCTGCCAAGGATGGCTCCAGCCCATGATATCCCAATCCAGATGTGTTTAGACAATAAATTCCTCCCACTAGATTGGCTAAAAGGGTCAAAATCGAATAACAATGATAATTTAAAACTGACCACTGAGTCAGATCTAAGTCTGGCCAATAACCCAGTCCATTTATTTTTAATCTCATCAAGCACATCCTGAAAGTATGAAAAGGAACTCCAACCTGAATGTGCCATTAGCTCAGGGCGGGCTGACCCAGGTAGCTACTAAAGAAGCAGCTTTCCACATCTAAGTGCAGGTGTCCATAGACAGAAAAAACCAAGAGGCATACATTGTTTTTAGTTTTGTAAATTTGCTTAGTTGTGCACAAGTGACTTGTTAGAATAGTTAAAGTAACTTTCATATGTATATGAGTAAGTACGTATTTTCTTTGTCTTTAGTCCTAGGCATTTCCATCCACTGTAGTATTTTTAAGAAAATCACTTCCCGTCGTTTTAGTTGGGGGAACATGCCCATGTTGTATTCTGACTCATCCTCAGCACAAGACCTGACACAATTATCTTACTGTCTTAATGCCACGTGCAGCGGGGACCTGTCACTAGAGTTTCAACCTCGGAATGGATAGGAACCATCTCACCGTCCCAAGGAATATGGGCCGTCTGTTGCTGAGGTCAATAAGTTCATCTGCTAGGATAAAAGGGTAGTTATAGGAACTTCTACAAAACTCACTTTAGGTGAATTTCAGCTTAACTAATTATTGGGGGGAGATGGGGGAAGGAAGATGTTACATTTCTGCCGACCACGGAAGCTCCCACACATCAAACCCACAAAACTGTGTGTGTGTGTGTGTGTGTGTGTGTGTGTGTGTGTGTGTGTGTGTGTGTATGTGTAGGGGGCGGGGTGGGATGTGCATGCACGGCAATGCTAAAGAAGGATGCACGGGCTAACTGCCAGAGGAGAGCTGTCCTGGCCCTTCCCTGTTGGTCGCCTTGGCTTACCTTGACCACGTCGTCGTTGAGGTGTTTAGGGTCGCGGTTGACCAGGTCGATCTCCTTGGTGTGCGCGTCGTACACTTGCTTCTCGCTCAGCTCGTCTGCCATGGCCTTGTTGTTGGGCTTGTAGATGTTGCCCTGTTCCCGGATGGGAACGGTGTAGAGATGTCCCTGCAGAGGGCGGAGGGCGGACGGCCAGGAGGGGGAGGGCGGCAACGGCGGTGGGAGGAAAAATGCAAAAAGAAAAACAAGCGATCAGAAGTCAGCCTGGCGGCGGGGGAAACCTCGAGCTCGAAATCGAACTAACCGCTCCGACAGCTACGGCTCGGTGCACAGAAACCGCCTGCGCGCAGCCAGCTTTTTAAGAGGATCTGGCAGAGGACACCACACCCCTCCGTACCCTGCAGGGCGCGCCTGCCTCCCCCGCCCGCCGCCAGGGGTCAGGGCAGGCCCCGCCGCGCGGTCCGCAGGCCCCCGCCCGCGCACGTCCCGGCTCAGCAGGCAGGACCCGCAGGACCCGCAGGACCCGCAGGACCCGCAGGACCCCGGCGGCGAGGGGGCAGCCGCAGGCTTCTCCCGGACTCCCTAAGTTGCGCCGCTCTCGGCCCGAGCGCTTCACCTGTTTCGCGTTCCAGTCCCCGGCCCCTATTACTCCTGCCCCGGTAATCCCTTCCAGCTTTATCTAAGATCCAACAGCAGCCGCCCGACCAGCGGAATGTTCCCTTTATCGCTGCTTCTTGGCCGCGTCCCCCTCGCAGCCGCCCGCGCCCCCCACCCTGCCTCGGCCCTCTCGTGTCCCTCCAACGCTCTCCCTGCCCAATCCACCGTGATGATCACAATTCCGAAAGTCCCCATTTCTGGCGGAGCCAGGTGCCAGACCCCCTAAACGTCCTAGAACTCAGTCTCACCTGCGCAGCTCCCACGACCCACCCCCAGAGTACTCCCAGGCTGCGGGCGAGTGGCTGAAGGGCAGCTGCGTGTTGTAAAACGAGGTCTCCACACCTGGGCAGAGCTCCAGCGCGTGGAGGGCGTTGGAAGTGATGGTGGCAGTTTGGGGAGGGGAGGTCCACCCCTCTCAGAACACCCCTGCCAGACGCCAAGATACAGAAGGAGTTCTTGAGATGGTTCAAGAACTTTGGAAAGTGCAAACACACTGCGCGCCGCCTCCTCGACCTGCCGGTCTGGACGCCTGGCGGGGAGTCTCGGGGACTGTCCCAGGACTCGGGTAAATGACACCACCACCCTGCACTCCACCTCTTCGAACCCCCAGCAGGCAGGGCCGGACCGGGGGTCCCGCGACAAGGGAGCATTCTAGACCCATCCAGAAAATGCGTCCTGGGTCCGACAGACCCAGTCTCAGGACCCCAATCCCCTTTTCCTTGTTCTCCTAGCTCAGGGGCTCCCTAGGCCCCCTCCCCATTAGGAAAACATAAAACATTCCTGGCTTCTCTTCACCTCCCCGCCCAGGCCCATTCCTCAGCGGTGCCAATGCCAGAGGAGTGCTCCGAAGTGGAGAGAGGGCTGGGGCCAGGGCAGCAATCGGGATATTTGGAGAGGCAGATAGCAGAAGCGGACACTCCCCGCGCGCCCGGGCCGGCGCGCCCCCACCGATGCCTACCTCCGAGTCTACGTATTTGCCCCCAGACATGCTGGCCCGTGGCTGGATGAAAGCTCTGAGGAGGTTTCCCTGGGCTGTGATTTAAGGGAACTGAGGAAGGAAGATCTTGTATTGTATGGGGGAAAAAAAAGGCGCTGACGGGGGGCGGTGGCTGGGAGGGAGCCTCCTGGCCGCCCGCCAAGGGTTTGTTCTCCTCGCGGTTGGCCCGGACGTGCGCTGCGCCGGGTCTAGGCACATCCCCAAGGTTCTGGCAGCAGAGGGCGGGGAGAGCCCGCAGCGAGCAGAGAGCGAGTGAGAACGTTTCTCCCGCGCTGGGGTGCTTGGGCAGATTATTTTAAACCTGAGGCAACATTTTCCCTGCTCTGAACCACCGAGAGGCGTCCCGGGGAGAGCGAATGTTTTCGCAGTGCATCATCTCAGCAGGGGTGGAGGGAGCCGACGCGCCTGTAGAGATGCCCAGTATGGGCAACCAAGGCGGCAGAAACAATCCACAATCCTGCCCTGTCCTAAGCCGTCCCTTCCCACCTCCTCCATCCCCCGCCCATCGCCCACGTTCCATCTCTGCCTTAAGACACATCTGTCTCCCTGTTCCACAGAGGGAGGGATGAAAGATGATTAGGAACCTTTAGGTACATTTCACATCTAAACTTTGTGGATCCCTTGTGGAAGGAATCTGTGTGGGTGCCTGTGGTGTACTTTTGGTGACACTCGTTTACATCTAGTCGGTGTGGATGGAAACTTAAGCAGGCATGCAGAATTTAACGTTTCCCATCCATTTCTGAAATGTCTCCCAAACGCTTCGAATTAAGAAATGAAGATCTTTAACTTTTCTATAATTTTATTACCGATATTTTCTGGAAAAATGGAATTTTATGCCAACAGGTTATGCCATATTTGCAAAACACACAAAATATTTATAATTGTAGAATTATTTAAAGCTTCAGGTTTATTACCAGAGAAGATTTTTTTAATGTGCTTGGCTGTGAGGAAAGATTTAACTTTTCTAATTGACTAGACTTTTAAAAAACGTGGTAGCGATTAAAGTATTTTATCTGTTCCTGAATTTGGGGCTTCTCTCTTTACTTTTTTGTAAAGAAGCACAAAATGAATTAAATAGTAATCAGTCATTTTACTCTTGAGCTGTAATTAATTAGGAAACTCATTATCCAAAAATGGAAAGGACATGTTACCTACGCTTCCATATGCAGTCGAAAGTCAAAGTGTCACTTGAAATTATTTAAAAAAAAAAAAGCTGGAGTACACTTAAAGGGGCACAGGTTAAAATTAAAATAGAGAGGGGAATGTGGGTTGGGAGTAAGAGGGAGGAGAAAGGGAAATGGATGGAATGCTGAAAGAGTTGATTATCTAGTTGGAGAGAAGACACAAAAGTATAAAAGAACTATAAAGGACAGGCTATTGTTGGTAGCAAAATTTTTGGAACAAAAGATCAGTTTTAACTAAGAATGGCAGGGAAAGTGTCACAGTGTTGCAAATGTTGGCATGCCTGTAATTATGTTGGTCATTCATGATTAGCAGACTAAAGATCTTTCAAAAGTTGGGTTTTCCCAAATACCACATTAGTGGGAGCTAAATGATGAGAACTCATGGAAATAAAGAGGGAAACAGCAGGCACTGGGGCCCACTTGAGGGGTGGAGCATCAGGGAGGGAGAGGAGCAGAATAACTATTGGGGAGTAGGCTTTGTAGCTGGGTGATGAAATAATCTGTACAACGAATCCCTGTGACACAAATTTACCTATTTAACAAACCTGCACATGTACTCTTGAAACTAAAGTAAAAGTTAAAAAAAATTGGAATGTTTAAAAATAAGCTTATTTATGAATAAACAAATAATTGGGATTTCTCTTTTTCTTTCTTTCTTTCTTTGTTTTTTCTTTCTTTCTTTCTTTCTTTCTTCCTTTCTTTTTTTTTTTTTTCCTGACAGGGTGTCCTCTGTCACCCAAGCTGGAGTGCAGTGATGCATTCATAGGTCACTACAGCCTGGACCTCTTGGGCCCAAGTGATCCACCACAGTTTCCTGATAGAATGCTGAAACTATAGGAGTGCACCACCACAGCCTGCTGATTTTTCAAAAAAAGATTTTGTAGAGACGGGATCTCACTCTGTTACCCTGTCTGGTCTCAAACTCCTGGCCTCAAGCAATCCTCTTGCCCTAGTCTCCTAATGTGTTGGGATTACAGGTGTGAGCCACCACAGCTGGCCAAAAAGTTGCATTTTCTTAATTTCATTTCTGCCAGATTGCATTTCTAAATTCTTTGAACAAATTATATTAACAAACATTAACAAACACAATATACTAGAAAAGGACTGTCAGGTTCAATATGTTCTATAGTACCTAGCCCACCTCTAATGACTGCCATAAGTTCATTTAATTCTTCCTTCATACAAGTCAGTTGGGGTTACGTTCTATGGAAAAATGTGGAAACCACTTCCCATCTATTGTTATTCAGTCTTCAGCTGTGATGAGTAATGTTAACTGTGAAAAAAGTCAACAGGAACACAGAGGGAGCTTGTCCTGCATTCCAGCAAGAAAAGGACTTTCCAGGGAGGCCTTTAAGTGAATGCTTAACTAGTACTCAACCAAGGGAAAGCAATCTCGCTGGGAAAGTCCATGTAGAAAAGTCTAATCAACAGCAACACATGGAATCGTAATGATCAGTGAAGCGTTGTCAAAGCCAAAATGCATTCCTAATGAGAGGAAAAACCACAAACTCTTCATTAACCTGCCTCAACAAGAAGCTGGCACCAAAGAGAAACACATCTTAGTCTGGTTATAATAGCTGACTTAGAGAAACTGCTCTAGATTTATGAGAAATAAAAGAAGAAGAAGCACATTGTTAGCATAGGTACAAAATTTGAAATGAATAGATCATATAAGCAAAACTGTTTTTCTTTGATTCCCACACAGATAACTTTAGGCTTGGAGGCAAGTTAATAACTTTCTCCAAATCATTTACTTAAAAAATGAGTAGTTGGCAATTCATTTTCCCTCTATTTTTTTTTTCTTTTCTTTTTTAGAAGCAGCATTAAAGGTCATCCCGGTGGGTGTGGTGGCTCACACCTGTAATTCCAGCACTTTGGGAGGCTGAGGCGGGCGAATCACGAGGTCAGGAGATCGAGATCATCCTGGTTAACACGGTAAAACTCCGTCTCTACTTAAAAATACAAAAAAATTAGCCGGGCGTGGTGGCAGGCGCCTGTAGTCCCAGCTACTTGGGAGCCTGAGGCAGGAGAATGGCGTGAACCTGGGAGGCGGAGCTTGCAGTGAGTGGAGATCGCGCCACCGCACTCCAGCGTGGGCGACAGCAAGACTCCATCTCAAAAAAAAAAAAAAAAAAAAAAAAAAAAAAAAGAGGTCATCCCCATGGATTAGAGGGCACTAAAAATATAGATCTAAAAGCCATGCAAGCGAACCCAACCAACCATCTGAGAGATGAGGACACTAAAGCTTAAATACACTAAAAATACCTTTTCCTAAGGAGTTTTGTTGGATAATGAAATATTTTGCAGTTGATAAATCACTAGAGCACCTGTTAGCAACTTCTGAGACATGAAGTTCTGAAGCAGGCTAGTCAGGGTCAGTTTACGGCAAAAATGTGAAATTCATTGCTTTTCATGTTCTCTCATCTCCTCCTCTATGTCGCTTTACTCTGGCACAACTCCTTCCCATCCCTGCCACCATCGGTTCTTTTCACATTCTTGGCTACGTTCTTTTAACTACCACTACAAGATTTGGAATGTAAAGGTTTGACCACTTTCAATGATATCAGTGGTGTTAAGAAGCAGGCATCTTTCCAACATTTCCCAACACTCGGCAGTCCAAGACTTCCCAAATGCGCCTTTGGCAATGCGTTCAGAGAAGGAATTCCAGCTTGGGTTATAATAGGAGTTATTACCAGGTATGATATTATAAAAATGTAATAATCAGTATGGAAGAGCCACCCACCAATCATTTCAAACTTCAGCCGTGGCACTAGAGCTGTGCATTAGAGTACTGCTGGTTAGTTGCTGAATCATTAGGAGGTAAAGGGTCCTCAGGGGAAGGGCAACATACATTTCAGAGCAGTGACTATTTACATGCAAGTGTATAAACATGCCAACGTTTTAACCATCTGTGTGTAAGTACATAAACATGTCATCTTTTAATGATCTCTGAGTTCAGCTCAGTATTTACTCTGTTTATCAACATCACCACCCCATAGGCCTTCTGCTGTTCATTGCATCTGCTGAATCCCATTGAGGCCTCCTTCCTACAGTTGCCCATGTCATATGTGGAAAGAAATGGCTTTCTGGATGAAGACTTGCCACATCACCTGACCCCCTTCTCACCTTGTTCTAACTTGAAGCTTCCGTGGATTGGGCTTTTCCACTCTGAGTGTTTTAAATAATTTTTTCCTACCTATTTTCTTTTAAAAAACAAACAAGCAAACAGCGATTTTGTGTTTAAAAAATCTTTCTGATCAAGATGACTAAGAGTTTTCTTTTCCTACTATTTCTTTAAATTAACTTTACTTTATTTACAAAATGAAAACTACCACTGATATCTACCCAATAGGAGTGTGTAAACTTTAGTGAGGTGATGTGTTTGAAGCTCTGAGGATCCTGCAAAAAGCACAATAGTTGCTAGGGTTGAGGGAACACATTTTCGTCCACAAATGTAAGATTCAAATAAACATATTTTACTTCAAAGTATTTTTAATTGTAAAATAGTTCAATTATCTGAGATATGGCAAATTGTATGATGGACACCTGCTACCTAGCTTGATCAAGTATCATTCTGCCTTATTTACTCCAGAGCTTTTAAAACAGAAAACATTATAGATACTGTCGAAGTCCCATGTGAATTGTAACTTTCTCTTTTTCTGTAACTGAACTTAATTTCTTTTACAAAGCCCCATTCCTTCAGGCGGCAGGAACTTAATTTCAGTCAATTTCTAGTTTCTTCCATTTTGTCCTAAATTCCAGGGGCTTATGAGGTGACCAGGAATCTTTGGTGTGGCTGTGGAGGAAGGTTTCTTCTTTAGCTGTGCATCTTGGC